ACCCTGATATACCCCAGCAAAAGCTGACCTGCAGCACCATGACTCAGCAGAAAGAGGACAGATGGAGGAGGGGCTCTCACCATCTCCAGCCTTCATGGCCGCCTGGTTCCTGCTGTGCTGCTGACACACATAGATGGTCAGACGGGGCTGGATGCTCCTGCAGGAAGGAAAGGATGAACAATAAATGAGAGACGGAGATGTTTCAGGAAGAACTCCTGGTTCAGCTCCTCAACAACCAATCAGATGGGTTCATCTTTACTCTCAGCCAGTCAACCTGCCGCCATCTTTGCTTCATGGTAAAGCTGCTTGTTCTTCTATGAGCCTCACCTTCCCTTCATGCTGTTAAAGAGCCGGATGCCGTCAGCCGGACCACAGATCTGGATCAGATCCTCTCTGCTCATCCTCAACAGATCAGCTCCTGAAAAAGGAGCAGAAACATCCGACTCCATCTTCCTTCCGATCCTGAACCAACCGATCATCCTACAAACTCCCACATCCAGCAGAGATGCACCGATCAGAGTTATTATCGGCCGTCACCGACCGCTCCGCTCTGCATGATTCTATTTGGACCAGTTCAGTAGAAACAAAGTGAAACAGCTTTTAATTCCAATTTATTTAATAACTGTCACCTGACCTGCAGGTTAATCAGAGCCAATCATGGGAGAACTGGGTCACTGACTGGTGCATCTCTAACCTTCAGGTTCTACTATAGACATCTTCTCCTGCCGGCTGGAAAATAAAGTGGAAATCCAGTCTTTAAATGTTTCTATATCGTTTTCTCTCTGGTTTGTAAAACTTTATTCCAGGTTCTGGGTTCTCTCCAGAGGTTCTCCCAGGTTCCACCATGATGCTGAGATCCTTCAGGTTCTCTCATCCATCTCTGTATCCATGGAAACCAGGAAGCTTCCTAACCAGCAAACCATCCGGCGCTTTGATAACCGTTAGAAATGTGTTTCCAGGTTAGCAGGGATATAAATGAAACAGGTTTCTATGGAGACCAAATGGCTCCGTCCAGATGATGAGAACGCCTTCAGTCCTCTGCTTACCAAAACAGATAAATAAAATGATAAATTAAAGTTAAACATAGAAAGTCTGACCTAGAGAGAAGCTGCTGGTCACCCATTCTAGAACTGCGTTGCTAACAGCTACATGCTGCTGTAGCTCTGCTAGTCTGATTATTTCCTGTTTACTGAAACTCAGCTCCTTTATTTGTGGATCCTGGTTTGGTTTTGTCCTTCAGTGCTGGATGCTGAGCAGAGTCTGGATGCAGAACCAGGTTTATTCTGGAGGCGGTTATAATGGTAGCAGCTGATTAACATTTCAAAGGTTAAAATAATACCTGACTAAACCCCCAATGACCGACACAGGCTGAAAAGGAGACATCAGAGAGAGAGGAGGAGAGAGGAGGAGAGGAGGAGAGAGGAGGAGAGAGGAGGAGAGAGCAGGAGAGAGGAGGAGAAAGGAGGAGAGAGCAGGAGAGAGGAGGAGAAAGGAGGAGAGAGGAGGAGGAGATTTAAGCCTTTTCTTCCATCAATCATTCCCACCAATGTAATGATAGTTTGCAAAGGAAACACAACTGCTTTTTATATTTAGTTTGAATTCTGTTTATTATTTTTTTATTTCCAAAGCTACAAACATTTTCTGTTTGATGAGATTTAGTTAGCTGCAGTAAAGTGCAATAAAAAATAAAAAAATAAAATATTAGTCGTTCTAATAATAAAGACTGCAATGAGAAAACAGCAGCAGCTGAATAAATCAACCGTACCAACAACCATGCAGCCAATAATCCATCCATCCATCCATCCATCCATCCATCCATCCATCCATCCATCATCCATCCATCCATCCATCCATCCATCCATCATCCATCCATCCATCCATCCATCCATCCATCATCCATCCATCATCCGTCCATCCATCCATCATCCATCCATCATCCATCAATC